TGACCGCTGGCCTTCCTGGTAGCTCCCCCCACCTTACACACCGGTCTGGTCAGACTGTCTCCCCAGTGCTCGCCTTCCCTTCTTACTTCCTCACCAATGAGTGGGAGGAAGGCACGAGGAAGCAAAGCCCCAGAGGGGCCTGAGGGCAAAAGAGAAGCCTGAGAACAGCGCCCTGGGGGGGGGGGGGGGGCGGGAGGGGGGGCAGAGGAGTGGAGGCACAGGCCCTTCCGGCAGGACCAGGAGGACCAGGACGGACCAGGAGGACCAGGACGTGCAGATGTGCAGATCACAACTCAAGCCCCAGCAGCAGCCAAGCCCCGTGCTGTGTGCCCCAAACACACAGCCCTGACCCTGGCAGAGGGGGAGCAAACTGCCCTCTTGCTTTTCTCCCTCTGCAAGGTGAGAAAAAAAAAATGCAGAATGGCAGGGCGAATGAGCTGCCTCCCAGAGCTGCTGATGGCACCACTCCAGGTATGGACTCGCTGCCTCCTGGCCCTGCTCCCTCCTCTCTCACAGGGCCCCTCTCCCAGAAGGCCTGGCCTTCCAGGCTGGGGCAAGAGCCTCTGTCTCCCACTGGCCTCAGCCTATCCATTCTAGAACTTTAAATACCAGCCAACGCCCAGTTCTCCACCTCCAGCCCGGGCATCCCCCTGGAGCTCCGGCCCAGCTTCCCAGCTGCCTTCCTGGCATGGCCCTCGGGCTCTCTCCCATGGCTGATGGGCTCGGCGGTCCTCCTCTGGACATGGTCTTCCCCTAAGACACAGCCCCTTGCCCAGAGGCTCCTGCCACAGACACACACTGATCCACAACACACACCCACACGCCCCCAGCTCAGGCCCCGGCCGCGCCACAGGCCCTCTCCTGGTGCTAACTACCACCTCCTGGGGAACAGCCTTTGTTTGCACCCCAACTCGCCCAGGACAAATCTTGGCTCCAACTCACCAGCTGTGTGATCTTGGGCAAGGCACTTGCTCCTGCCCCCCAAGGAAGGGATGAGCAGGCCAGGGCAGGCCACCTGCCCAGGACAGGAAGGACAGGGACGGAGTTCCCAGGGGAGATGATGCCTGCCTTGGGTCTTAAAGGATGAGTGGGAGTCAGCCGGCAAACAAGGAGGGGGGCGTTTCTGGGAGAAGCAGCAGCCCGAGCTCAGGTCTGCGAGGGGAGCTGAAGTATCCAGTGTGGCCTGGGGGGTGCCGCTGGAGCCACCCACCCAGGAGGCCCATTCTGGACCCGACGCCTGGAACCTCAATGCGAAACACTGGGTGATGGACAGTTCAGAAAGCCCCCACCCCAGCTACCAAGTGTAGACAGGACGGAGGAGCTGGAGGAGGCCATAGGAGGGTAACCGGAGGCCCCTGGGGAGTGCAGGTGAGAAGGCCTGCCCTGGGCCGGGAGACCGTGAGCAGGAGGCCTGGCTCCTGGTTAGAGCTGCAGCCCACCTGCAGGCCAGCCTGGGGGGCCCCAGGGGCTGACACAGACGCAGACAGACAGGACCACGGAGACATGCAGACAGACGGACAGACCACACGTGGACACGCACGACAGACAGGCCTGTGTCCCACAACATGGACTGACAGGGGCAGAAACGCCCGTGAGCAGGACCCCCAGGTGACAGGAGGGTGAGCACTGATGGCCCCCAGGACAGGCCCAGAGGGAGAGGGGCACTTGGGATGAACACAATTCCTTAAGCCCCCGAAGAACAAACCCCTCATTGACAGAGTTCCACCTGGAATCACAGGTTCCTTACCTAGAGTGTCCTTTCCCACTTGGTGAACTTCTACTCATCCTTCAAGACCCAGCTCAAGTGTTCCCTCTTCTACGGAGCTTTCCCTGAACCCCCAGTCAGTCACTTCCTCTGTGTTCCCAACAGCACCTTGTATATGGGAATAACAATAACAATAATAATAAAATGGCAGCTACTACTGAGTTCCACACCTACTATGCGCCAGGCACTGTGCTGAGTGGGCCATACGCATCGTGTCACTCTTCCCAGTGACCCTGCAAGATGTACATTCAACAGAGAGGAAGCCGCAGCGCAGAGAAGTCAACCGACTTGCCCAAAGTCACACAGCCTGGAGTGAGGACACATCCCAGATCTGGCCCCACATTACAGGGCAATCACACCTGAGAGGTCTGTTTCCCTGGGTGACCTTCCCGTCAGGCTGTGAGCGCTTCACAGGTAGAGTTGGTGTTTGTCCATCTCTGCTGTCAGAAACACTTGACTACCTTTTCTTGAGCCTGTCAGATGGGGGAGGAGCTATGTCAGGGCATTTTACAACTGTTATTTTACTATTGCACAAGAGCCATGGTATGAGGAACTGAGGCCCAGAGAGGTTAAGGAACTTGCCTGAGGTCACAGAGCCAAGTCTGGATATGAAACCAGGTCTGCCCATCACCGTGTCCCAGGAGGGTGGCCACTAAGACCAGCCTAGCCAGCACCCCGAGGAGCACTGGGGGAGGGGGCACTAGGAAGGGCGCTAGCTGGTGCCAGGCCCCGCCACCTGGGGAAGGTCAGACCTAGACACACACAAAGAAGACAGAACAGGCAGCCCCGGGAGGAGTGTGACTAAGCCGTGCCCACTGCCGGGCAGGGCTGGGTGCAGTCAGGCAATGCAATGTCCCATTTCCCATGCCCAGCCCAGCCCAGCCCACAGACATTAAACAGGGAGATCTGCTCGGACCCCACGGCCACAGGGGCCCCCAACTGGCTCCCAACGAGGTGGGAGTGAGCAGGGCCCAAAGCTGCACAGACACTGTGATTCCAGGAGGCAAAAATAAGAACCTGAGTCAGAAAACGCAAGCAGCAAGAAATCACGCCCAGAGGGAGCTGGGGGCGCCGGGAGCGAGGCTGGGGCTGATCTGGGCTTTCCGTCTTGGTTTCTCCGACTTCCAGATTCTCTGCCATGTCATTCAGTTGCTTTCATCATGAAAACAGTTAATTTATTCTCAAAAAATTAAAGCGGTTGGTGGGAGGAGAGGGGCTGGGGAAGGGGAGCAGAAGGAAGGTCTGGGGCACGGCGGTGCTGGGTGGGGGTGGGCACCCAGTCAAGAGGCCTCTGCCAGTCCTGCCATGCACCCTCCTCCAGGCAGCAGGAGCGGGTGGGGGTGGCAGAGTTCAGCAATGTCACCTGGCAGAGGTGACATTCGTCTGCACGCTGAAGCTGCACAGAGTGGGGAGAGCGGGGCGTCTCCACCACCTCCCCTGGCCCAGGCCAGGCCCCATCACCAGAGCAAGAGCCTCCTCCAGGCTCCCCACCCCTACCCACAGCCCCAGTCCAGTCCCCTGCTGCAGTCACTGCTGTTTCAAAGACACAGACCACAGCACTCCGCTACTCAGAACCTTCACAGTGCCCCTCTTCCCTCCAGGCAAGATCTGGATTCCTTGGGTCTTATCTGTCCAGCCCTGATGACCGCTGGCCTTCCTGGTAGCTCCCCCCACCTTACACACCGGTCTGGTCAGACTGTCTCCCCAGTGCTCGCCTTCCCTTCTTACTTCCTCACCTTCAATCGGGCTCATGTCCCTCAGAGCTCTCAGCCCAGCCCATTCCACTGGGGAAGTCCAACCTACCCCTCAAGACCTCAGCCTTCAGGCTCCTTCCTCCTAAAAGTCTTCCAGGACTGCTCCACCTCCACCCCTGCTGGAGAGGCTGCTGGGGCCTCTCCTGTCTCCTCTGTGTCCTGCATTTCCATCATCAGGACACTTGCCGATTTTCTCACACACCTGTGTGCTGGACATGCAGCCTGCCAGGGTGGAAGCGGGGCTGAGTCACAGGCCGCTGAATCCCTGCACAAGTAAATACTTGGCGGACATTTGGATGCATGAATGGATGCTGTAGGTGGAAGGAACTAAAACCGTCAAGGAAGGTCTAAATAGAAGAAAGGCCCCACACTCGGGCACCACGGTGTCCTCTGCCTTCAATGCTCCCTCGTTCCAATAGCTAAGTCCCATTTTCTTGAGTGATATGAGAAGGGCTGTGTGAGTTCTGTAGAGACCAGAGGGCCAAAAGGATATTAAAAACCATAACACAGGGCCCTCCCTGGTGGCGCAGCGGGTTAAAGCACTGCACTGAGAAGCTAAAGCCACTTCTGCATGAGTTCGACCCCCGCCTACCCCCGGAGGTGACCACATGGCGTGGCAGACCTCTCCTGACCCGCCCGCTGCTCCCCTCAGCAGTGTACTTCGTCAGTCAGCCTGTTTTGCTCCCCACTCTGTCTTTGTCCCCTCTCACCACCCCTGAGCCTCTGGCCTGTACCCCAGTTCTGTGTGCATAAATAAATCTTTTTTAAAAATTGAGTGCTGAGAAAAAAAGAGGGACGGCAACCCCAAAATGCTAACAGTGAGGGTGTTTTAGGCTTGGAGAAAGGGCAGAAAGTGGGAGGGTCAGGTTTATTTCATTTCCCTATTCTCTATGATTACATGGCCTTTTTAAAGAATATTTTTAATAAAACTAAAGGTTCAGAGCGCTTCGGCCAAGTCAGACACTCCACCCCCAACCCATGGCCGCACTAGGATTCTGGCCACAGGCCACACAGCTCTACCAAAGTGGGCCTGGGACCCACTCCAAGTCCCACAAGGGGCTTTGAGCCCCACCCCAAACCTCAGCCAGCGGTACAGAATCAGGGGCTCCCCTCTTCCCTGGGGAGGACCAAAGGAAAGCTTGCCTGGGTCACTCACTGTCCCACTTAAAATTCTTTCCTGGGTGCCCACCACTTTGGGAAGACAATTCAAACTCCCAGTGAAGCAACCAAGGGAAGCTGAAGCCTTGCTGGCCAGATCCACCCCACAACCTCCGACCCTCCAGATGCACCCACGGGGGCCCCCACAGGTGTGACTCTCCTGCCACAGTGACTTTGCACGGGCTAGGGTCTTCCACTTGGGGCAGAGCACCCGCCTGGGACTCCTCCAGCACCCTATCAGCCATGGAAAGTCAGTTCAGGGGTCCCACCGCTGGGGAAACCTTCCTGCTCGCCATCCCCCCACCCCCACCCCACCGAGGCTGTACCTGCAGTCTCGCCCCGAGCTCCCAGCTTCCTGGGCTTCCCCAAGCAGGGCACTGCCCAGTCCTAGAATGGCCTGCTAACTCGCCTGCCCGTTCCCCGTCCCCCAGCAGCTGTGAGCTCCCTGAGATTGGGGCTGGCGTCTGGTTCTGGGTTACAACCCACATCCCAACTCAGTCCCCCAGCTGACCAGGCTCTTCCTTGGGGTCCCAGCTAAAGGTCACTTTCTGCTCTCCGCTGCAAGAACCTGGCCGCTCGACGGTGCACCCACAGCTGCCCCTTCTCCCTTCTCACCTTGGCGCGTTCGCGCTCCAACCTGACCCACCAGGACAGACAACCACGGCAACTGCAGAGCCCAGCCAGCCGCAGAGCAGGGCTCGGTGTCTTGTTCACGGTGGGTGCTCAGCAGACACTCTGGGATGCAATGGACAGGGGCCTGTCCCAGCAGGCTGGGCGCCTGAGAAGCCAGACGAGAGTAGGAGGGGAAGGGACAGCATTGGCACAGAGGGAGTGTCGGCCTGGAAGACCGCTGACCTTCAGGAGAGCAAAGAGCCCTCAAACACAGCCCTGACGCAAGCAAGAGGGCTGCTGCAGGGCTGGGGTGTCCCGGGAAGATGGGCTCACCCACTGAGGGGTCAGGGGAGATGCCCAGAGACGCCAGGGAAGGGAGGCCGGGGGAAGCGCGGCGCATGCAAAGGCCCAGAGGCAGGAGCGCACACAGGACATCGCCCGCCCTGGAGACAGGGCAGGAACGTGCAGGGGGAAAGAGTGGCCAGGGCACTTCAGAAAGGACACAGTGCCAGGCGGGGACGCTAGGATGAGCCGAGTGGGGGGACGGGAGGTCGCTGAGCGGGGCAAGTCAGGGCCAATTTTCCAAAGGACGGGCGTTACCAGGCCAGGAAGACGGCCTGCAGGGGCCGAGCCTCGGTTTCCCATCTTCCAGCTCCGGAGACCCCGTGCGCTTCCCATGACCCCTCTGCCTCCGTGTGCCCCACTCCATGCGGCCCAGAGCTCTGAGCCCCAGCTGTTGCAACCCACCCCGCCCCCAGACCCAAGCCAGCCTTGGAAACTCGCTCCTGGGAACTTCCTGTGAAGAACAGGGCTCCCGAGGGTCCTGGATCCAATTAGGCTGGGTCTCCGCAGCCCTGCGGGGCTGGGAGCGCTGTTTTCACTGTGAAGGGGGAGCTGATGGGTGGGGGAGGGGCGCCCGAGTCAGTGGGAGCGAGGGTGCAGCCTCATCCCCTCCCAGCCCCCACCCACATCGGCCACCCAGACACCGGGGCGGTGACCGTCCCAGAGAGCCCTCACTTAGGGACGGGCCAGGCCACCCTCCGCAGGCCTTGAACACACGCCCTTCCCGACTGCATCTCCCTAGGGGGCCCGCCAGCTCCCATCTCCCAAGGAGCCCTCTGCCAGCGTGAAATGACAAGAATAACAATAGTAATGGATGAGCCCTTCTTCCAGGGCAGGCACTGTAGGGTGCTTTACGAATATTTCTCACCCAGGCTCCCAGACCCTGTGAGGTAGGTATTGTAACATTTCAAAACAGGACATAAACAAACAGCATAATAACTTACTGTAAAGCGCACATCCAGGGTGCCCAAGAAGCCCCACCGGGTCTGTCTCCATTACCCCCCCCCCCCCGGCTGCTGCGGTAATATCTTCCTCACCTGGGTCAGCGAGGGGGTTCAGAGCCGCCTGTGGCCTGCCGAGGACACGCCACGGGTGGGACGGGGCTGCGGCCTCTGCCATCGGCCAGCTGTGCGGCCTCCGGCAAGTCTGTCCTCTCTGGACCTTCGTTCCTCCGATTCAACTAAATCGGGGTGTGAGTTCCTGGACCCTCAGGATCCAGGGGCGATGTGGCCACTCCTGTGCCGAGCACAGCTCAGGGTGGACGCCTCAGCTCAGGCCTCGGGACTGTGGGAGACGGGGAGGGGAGGGCGCCCACACAGCGCTGCCCTGACTCAGAGGAGCCAGCACGCTGGGACCCTGTGCGTCAGCTATGGTCACCG